AATGTAAGTACTGACCTGTTTCCAGATCACTATGATTCTCAGAAGATTTTTCAGTGTTTTGAACTAGGCCATCAAAAAGAGTAATATCCAACTAATATTTGTTATCTAAAAGTTCTCCCTTGTTCTGAATTGTCAACATGAAGCTTTTCTTAAGACTTTAAAATTTGGCAGCTTTTTTCAAAATTTTCAGCTTTTTTTCCCCACTCATACAATAAAGTTTGGCACATAAATTTCTGATAAATTCACCAATATTTTGTAAATGCAACCATGTATATATATTTAATGGTCATTTAGATTTGTTAGCTTTTATAAGGGCTGAAAATGTGATTTATTTGAGGCTCTATTGAAAACTACACTTGATACGCTTTTCCTAAAGCATAAAATAACATTTAAGATGATTTTGCTAACACAATTAGTTAAGGATTCTCAAGAGAAATGTGGTTTAGATCTTTATAAAACATTTTTTTCAGAGAATTTCCCCAGAGATATATGAAATAAAATATTAATTCATTGCTATTTGATAGTAAACCCTGGCTTCCACAGAGATTGTGACTAACTCAATTGCTTTCTACTAGGTTTATTTGATAACTATCCTAATGTAGAAAATGTCATCTGATCCTGTGGTGGTGGAGGAAATCCTTTCTTGGTTAAGAGTTGCTGATGTAGAGAAACACACTGGGTGTCACATTTGATAGCAAATTAAACAACACAGTTAATGTCACATAGCTATTATTTATATGAAGTGCTTAATATGTTCCAGGCAGTATTCTTAGCAATATGAGGATTAAATTAGTTAATTAGCTATTTTAATCCTCACAACAGCACTACCAGGTGTTTGTTTTACTATTTCTATCCCATTTTATTGGTAAGGAAGGAGAGAAAGTAAGTGGCTATGGTGAAAGATTTTAAATTTTTCTATCAAGGAGGGAAATTTACAAGACAGTAGTTTTGTTACAAGAACTAATTTTGTTTTGTATATGCTCTGTATTACTGAAGTAGGTAGATATAGTCAGTCTGGACATTTTGTGTGTATACATCTTAGCCCCTAGGAGAAGCTAGAGAACATATGGATCTACCAGGTTCAACTAATAAATTCACAAAAGTTGGAAAAATCAGTGAGTTATACGTGAAATGTATTATTCCTGAATGGACTGCTTATTAAAGGCAAGGAGAGTGTTAGTAAAGAGCTTAGCTAGATAGATTAAAGAAATTGTCTCTCTCCATCTGCTCTAATTAGCTTATCTCATCAGCTTTTACAGCATGCTGGTTATTTCAGAAAAGAAGTGAGAGCTACTTTGAAAGGACAACGGTTTTTCTTTATGCTAATTTATAATGGTTTTGGAGTGGTTGTCCATTCTTAAACTTTTAAATGTTAGGACTTTCCTGTAAGGATTTATTATTGGAAGTTTCAAGGCTTTGTATGCTCAATTAAGGATTTCACCCTCTCCTCATTCCTTTGGTTTTGGCTCCAATGATTATGTTTCCTCTTTTTAGGAAGATTTCTCTGGGTATTTTGATACTTTTCCTGATAGAAGGAAACCTTCCATCATTAACAGGTATTTAAAAATCTACATTTGTTTTTATCTTTCTATATATCGCTAGTATATTCTTTTCAAAAGTAGCATTATTGATGTGATTGCTATAAGAAATTGAATCAAATACTAATTTATAATCTTCGATACTGCTTTATTTAAACTTTTAAAGTATTTCCAATAATTTTGGTTTCCTTCTTCATTCGTAATTCCTGGTTAAAATCTCACTTCCTTTTATTTCTTATATTGAAATTGAATGTACACTTGATTTCAGTAACAATCTTGAATTAAAGGAGTGGAATTAAATGGAAAAAGATTGAATGCCTCACTCCTCTCCTCCTTAAATATATATGCTTGTCTATAATCTGAGTGTTGACTTCAAAATCCAAATGTAGCATGTGTTAGTTTTTCTTTATTTGTTACCTTTTGTACTGTATCTTCATTCATCAAAGGAAGACTTAATTATGCTTTCCCTCTGTAGCACAAACCTATTTACCTTTAGAGGAGATCCAAGACCCCAAGAGTGCAGTTTCTTTTCTTCTGCCTGAAGAATCAACAGACCTTTCTCTATCTACTGAAAAGAAACAGCCTCTGGACCACAGAGAAGCTAAAAGACGGTGGTTACTCCGAAGGCGGAGATCTATTCTGTTTCCTAATGGAGTAAAAATCTGCCCGGAAGAAAGTGTTACAGAGGCTGTGGCAAACCATGTGAAGTATTTTAAAGTCCGAGGTAAGCAAACATCGAAACTCGTGCGCTCCATAATGTAATTCAAATATAGTTCAATCACAGTTGTCGTATCACACTGTAAGTCAAAATTTGTGATAATTTAGATAGGACTGAGCCAAATATTCTTTCTACTTAGCTATGAAA